TGTGTGTGTGTGTGTGTGTGTGTTATTTACGAATTAATATGTGCGTGTGTATCGATTTAAACTACGACGCATGTCTAAAATAAAAGAAAAATTTGATCATACATGTGTTTTCTTTAAAAATATTCTTTTTACTCTTGTTCATTTTGTGTTGAATGAATTTATTCTTAAATAGACGTGTATTTATCATTGAAAAAATATATTGGAGTAACATTTTCCAATATACTCAGTCTCTATTATATTCTAATACAAAAAAATTTGTGGTCGTTTATTAAATGATTAGTATTTTTTGTTAATCTGACACTAAAATTGGAAAGACACTTCTTTCTTCTCTTGCGTACTATTATAACAACACATGAGGTACCATTTTTGTAATTCATTAACAAGGAGAAAGAAGAAGAAGAGAAAAAATGTATGTGTGTGTGTGTGTGTGTGTGTGTATATTTGTATAAAATAAATAGTCTACCTAATAATGCTTACCGGAAATGGGTCTTTACTCGAATGTTTTAAAAGGATATTGTAGTAACTACTTTATGAATAGAATGAGAGTACACTAAACAAAAAAAAAAAATTGTAAGAAAAAAATTTCTATCTCAAAGCATCTTTTTCATTTTTTTTTTTTTTTTTTTGTGTGTTATAATCAACAATAACATTCTACAACTTTCAACGATAGGAAAATAACTCATTAGATTTTCAGATGTTTTAATATACTTCAATGTTCACATGATGAACATCATGATTTACGACCACTATGAATATGGTGGTAATTATTTTGTTTTTTTTAATTTTCATTTTAGATGAAAAACAGTATGAACAGTTATCATCAACAAAATATAAATATTCGTTGATTATAATTAATCGAGCGTATAATTAATATGAGCATTAGCTCATTAACAATTCGTAATTTAACAACAGGTTCATTCTGTCTATTGATTAAACAGTATACTCAAATAACAGGTAAGAATGATATTCTCAATTTACTAAATAAATAAGTATTCAAAAAATTTAAAATAAGATATAATATGAAATATAAAATCCTTTTTTGTTTTATTGTTGTTGATTAAATCACATGATACTATTCTATCTTAATCTGATGACTATCGAGTTATTTTAAAAATGTTTAGATAACATTAAATAAGTAAAAACGCATAAATAATAGAATTAATGGTGTGTTGTTGAAATAAATTAAATAAAAAAGCTAAACTGACATCTTTTCCTTTGCTTCTGGAAAAAGAAATATGAAACTGTCTATTTCATCCGTATAAATTTATAACTTCCGTTCTAATTAATATAAAGTCTATGCAATTTGTGAGCATTTTCTTTTATTTTTAAAGGTTATTATTTTTTTTATTTTAATTTAAATTGTGTGTGCGTGTATGTATATATAAAGCTCAAGTGATATTATTTATCTTTTTGCGGTAAATTTTATTTTTTTTGACAAAGCTCTATCGATAATTTAGTACTATCTACATTTCATGTCATTGATAAATTTAAAAAAAATAATAATAATATGAAACAAGATTGTTCATATAGGAAAAAGAAAAAAAGAAAGTTTTTCTTTTACGTGAAATAAAAACAACTACCATATAGAATAGATTCTTAAACGAAATATCATTTATTAATATTTTTCTGAAGGAGATGATGAATTTCTGTCTGTCACTCAAGACAAATAATATCACTACAACAATAACACACACACACACACACACATATGACGGCATTCATATGACATTCATATGACGGTCACACTGGATCTGGCGAAAATGCTGACAAAGTTTTTGCGTGAATAATTGTTTCTCTCTTTCTCTCTCACTCTAACATCTATTACGAGAAACCGTCTACAGCAGAAAATTTGTTTTTATTTTATATCCGTTTTTAAAGAAAAGTGTCAGTAAAAATATACGATATCAAACGTTGGTCGCAAAATAGTTTTCAATTCTCTATCTATAATCGTTGTCGAAATTCGAGGCCAAATACGCCCGTTCGAGTACAACAAAAAAGAAATTTTTCGGATCACAAATTAGAAATGTCAAAATAGTTTTCAATCAAAGTGAACAGTCAATCTCATCGAAAATATGATTTTTTACCTTTTTTTTTTATTGCGTTTAGAAGTCAAAAACTGTAAAAATCTCCATAAAACTTTCAGTGAACCTGAATATTAAAAGAAACTAGAGTCTACTCTCTAATATTTGACGCAGATACACATATTAACTCAAATAAATGAACACTTTTGATTGATTTCGCTCTATATGTATGTGTATGCATGTATGTGGTCCGTAAGTACTTTTCAAGTATGTCAGACATTCTATTTAAAGAATAATTGAGTTTAATTATTTATTTGTAAAAGTAGCAATGTATTTTATTCTCAGCTACTATGTATGCATTTCAAACTAAAAAACACATCATTGGAGTTTAATCGAAAGGCGAGACGGACCTTCGTCAGTCACTTAATGACCGAAACCCAAGATACATGTATCTACTGAAAATACTTTCTAAAATCTCTCACAAACATTGGATCTTGAGAGGGATATTTTAATAATCCGGTTGCTAGTTCTTCCGTTCTCATGAATAGATAGAAGTTCCGAATCGATCCAAATCGACGTCGTCATCTTTCATCTCTTTTCATAATTTCTTAAAAATACTATAGCAACATTGACCCATTTCTTCTACTGTTCTGTAGCGAAAGAGCGGTAGAAGTAATGGATCAACGTTTCAACTTGATAGAAAAAAAAAATGAAGATATGATATATAAATTCTATATTCCGTCATATAGCTGGATGACACCGAGTTGATTTTGCCATTTTTTGTCTTCTGTAAATAGAATTATGTTAATGTCACTAAATTAATTATCCAAAAACACTTCTTATTTCGACTATCTCTTATGTTTTCTATATTATAACATGTTATAGTTAATTTATACCAGATGAAAACTTAACAGGTATAAAATATTCTACTTATATTTCAATTAGATTGATCCATTGACTAGCGTAGCTTTTCATAACGGTTCAGAACAAAAATATATCAATTGCCGTATATTTCGTAAGTATCCTCTTTACTTCGGTAATATAAAGATAATCGCCCTTTATGAATCTGGAGAATGGATCACTGACGTGTTGTTATAGTCTGACTGACCTCAATATACGCTTATGATTACCGTACCATATAGCAATACAATGACTTTCTAGCGTGTGTGCATTAGAGTTTATGTTACTCTACTAAAAGGTAAATAGTTGTATCCTTATTACAACACTTAAAGATTAAATTAATTTCCCAGTCATTTGCTGCTGCCAGAGTTTTAATTTTTAAAGTAGTACTACAATAAGTAATATCGTACCAGTAAAATCATCCTTTTTTCATGGCAGGAAAATTTTAAAATCATAGTGATAGAAGAAAAACTCTATCTAAAATGGAAAGAAAAGTAGAAAAAAAGCATATCAAGGGCTAAGTTCATAAAAACTTCAATTAAAAATTTTAAAATCTCAACACTCATTTAGTTTAACCGAGCATTATTTCAAAGCTTCCTTTGATGTCATTTTTTAAAAGGCTCTTTGTAGCTCATCGTTTTGTGAAATAAAATAAAGTGCTTAGATTGTGTTCGATAGAGATGGATTCGCGGTGTCTCATTATGAATGAAAGATATGATCTTGAATAATATCAAGCACAAGTGTTCAAACATTCAACAGATTTAATAGAAAACTTTAACTCTATTTCTTGAAAAGCGCTTTTCGCAAAAAGTTTCAGAAGAGCGATGGAAAATCAAAACAATAAGAAAGCAATACGGTAAATATACTAAGTTTTTTACTCTTTTTCGACAGGTATGACTAAACGATATGTTACACTTGGTTGCACTAAATGAGTTTAAAATATTAAAATTTTTAATTGAAACCTTTTTGAGTCAAGAGTCTCTGGAATCTTTTAAATATAGATCAAATATATACGAGCCCTATTCTACTGTACTGAGCGACAAAGCGTGTTTGACAACTTGATTGAAAACGCGAAGGAATAAAATAAAGTTACTTCTGTGCTTATTACCTGCACTTAACATATCTAAATTTCAGAACAATGTGTTTTAGCAAATATTAAGATTATCTTTCTAATTTGATGCATAATGATCGACTTTTTCTACTTTAGCAATTTTAGTAGACTGTCAATATTTTGTAAATTTGGAGTAATAAACGATCAAATAACGATCTTTTTTTTCTGAAGTATTGATGCGCCTACGGGGAAAAGTAATAATAAGTGTTTTCCTCTATTTATTCCAACATATTTTTTATGTTTGAGAATCCCGTATTTCTTTTTATGGCAGTATCTAAGCCCTTTTTTAATGTGTGCTAGCCTCAAATTTAGTTTCTGGTAAAAAAGAATCTATTCATCCAAATAATTGCGATATACTCCATTACGAATAGCTAATTGTCTATTCATTGTACTCCATCATTCAACATACGTAAAGTCTAGAAGTGAATTTTGAACTTTAATAAAATTATGATCGTATAATACAGATCAATCCAATAAAAGTTATTCTCCCTATTAGATTTTTCATATCATACTCTTATGCTTAGTACACACTGTGTACTACACAGATGTCCGTCGCTACCTTAATTCAATCGTGAAAAAACGTAGCGCAATCTTGCTATGAATTTCGTAAAAACAAATTATCCCTCTTTTGTATCAGATAATAACAATATCGAGTTATGAGTTATAACAGATAAAGTTGACATGTAAAACATTCTGTCACTATTACTAACATTCTGCGATCCTACTTTTCGATAAAAACAGTTCTAAGTAGAGATAGCAAGATAGACCATGAAAGCCGTTCGTTTTTCCATAATAGGCGAACCAAAAGGTGTTCATGTAAAACTCTAATAACAGTCAGGAATTAATAATCCAAATATGTAATAGAAAGTTTTAATTACCTGGTGATTTAAACTTCTCTTTGGTTCTAGACGGAGTTTTGAGGTCGAGCAACCATTACCAATATCAATGGCAGACGTGTTCATAATGATATGGCCTCTGCGTTTAAATCCATTCGATATCAAGCTTGTGATAGTAACGATGATAACAACAATAATGAACTTGTCTCAATATCAACATCAACTCATGGTTCATCAAAGTCATCATTACAATCGAAAAACGCTCACACAAATACAAATCAAAAATTCAATAATAAAGTATCGAATTCAGAGCTTTGTGGTGTAACGATTCTACCTAGCACCACAACCGCCAAACAAACCACAACACCATCTCCTTGTCTACCGGCACTCTTTCCGACATTGAACAACAAAACTTCATCATTGACACATTTGTTAGCTACAGCATCACCATCAGAATCACCACCCACAAGAAATAACTTGACAACTCAGGTGCCAACAGCCGATATTGAACATAAACCACGACATACATCATCACAACTTCATGCAGGAACATCAGTGTTCACTCGTACAGGTTCGCGGCAATCGATATTAGACACATTATCAAACAAATTTACAACCGTACGAAAAAGTTCAACGTCTGCCTTTACTTCGGCACAACAACATCTTTCACAGGGAGAAAATATCAATCTTTTCTCACAATATCAAGGTAACGTTTGAGACCAAAGCATACTCTCTTCTTTAATTTTCATCGTCATTTTTCTATTTATCAGGTGATTATATTCGTCAGTCACGCCAGTTACGTAAAGCGCGTCGACAAGATATAAAAGCTCGATTTGAAAAATTTCAAGACGGTCCGCTGACAAAACGTCGTACAACGTCTCGTCGTTTCACATTTATATTTGATCCGAGTGGTCGCTTAACATATTGGTGGACGTCGATCGTTTCCATCGCGTTTCTCTACAATTTCTGGGTGATCATCTATCGTTTTTCGTTTCACGAACTGAATCATAATAACATTTTAGTATGGTTTATATTTGATTATGTCTGTGATTTAATATATATATTTGATATTGCATTTAATTTTCGTACGGCGTATCTTGAAGAAGGTGTACTACAAACGGATCCAATTAAACTGCGTCACTATTATATGAATACAACCCGATTTTATATCGATTGCTTATGTTTGATGCCATTAGATTTTTTATATTTATCAATCGGATTTAAATCGATTGTACGTCTATTTCGTCTTGTTAAAATTTATCGGTTTTGGACATTTCTTGATCGTACCGAGCGACATACTAATTATCCAAATTTATTTCGTGCAATTGTCATGATTCACTATCTTCTAGCCATCTTTCATTGGAATGCGTGTCTGATTTACATATTGAATACACGAAGTAAAATGGGTTTAACAAAACGTTTTAATTTTACGTTTAATGATATTGGCCTAGACTATTTCAAAGCATTATATTGGAGCACATCAACGTTAACATTGACAGATAATTATGAAACAAAGCCAACATCAAAAGAAGATTTTGTGTTTATGAGTATTGAACTGGTGTTTGCTTTGCTCTTGTTTGCCACCATTATGGGTCATGTTGCGTCAATTGTGGCCAATTTGAGTAATGCAAGAAAAGATTTTCAGGGTATGAAGTGTGGTGACTATTTCAAACGTACTAAGGATCCAATGGTTAGAAAATGAGAGAGGATAGAATGAATATATCCAAAACAAAGTGTAAAAAGCTATCTTAAACCGTTGCGGTTATTTGTTAATTAGAGTAATGACAAATGCTCTATAACTTAACTTTCTCTTTATAGCTAAACTTGATGCTGTCAAAACGTACATGTCTCTCCGTCGTCTACCAAATAATCTTGAAGATCGTGTTATTCGGTGGTTCGATTATTTGTGGATGAGGTATGCTGCATCGTTACATATTACAACTATTTTGTACTTTCTCAATATTTCAGTCATAAATCGGTTGATGACAATCATGTTTTGTCGTTACTTCCATATAAATTACGTGCAGAAATTGCTATACATGTTCATTTAGATACGTTAAAAAGAGTAAGTCGTAAAAATCTTTTATTTGGTACATCATCCCATTGTGTTATATTTTGTTTAAGGTTGAAATATTTCAAAATACAGAAGCAGGTTTTCTAAATGAACTCGTTCTACGACTGGAACCTGTATTGTTCTCACCCGGCGATTTTATATGTCGGAAAGGTATATAAATTTCAGAAAGTTTCTGGATTATAATATTTAGTTGTATTTAATAGGCGAAGTTGGTAAAGAAATGTATATCGTTAATCGTGGAAAATTGCATGTGATGGCAGATAATGGTAAAACGGTTTTAGCAACACTCAAAGCGGGTAAATGTTTCATATACTTATCGAAGTTCAATCAATAATGTTCGTATTATCTTTTTGTTAGGATCATATTTTGGTGAAATAAGTATATTAAATATGGGTACAAGTGGCAATAGAAGAACGGCATCCGTAAGATCCGTCGGTTATTCGGATCTCTTTTGTTTATCTAAAGAAGATTTATGGGAAGTTCTTAAAGAATATCCAGCTGTACGAGTTAAATTAGAAGCAATTGCTGTTAAACGATTAGAAAAACATAAAAAGCCCCTGATCCAACAAGGTAAGCAGATCATTGCCCTTGAACAGGAAAAAACATATCTTATTATTTAAATCACATGTGCTTTCTCTCTCCCTCTTCACTTGAATGATACGTTGCAACTTTAGGATAAATTTACTTATTATCATTTGTACTATTTTCATTACTGTTGTATGAACTAGAGAGGCACATTCTACTTTAATCTTTTTCCGACATCGATAATTAATTTCTGTTCTGTTTCAGTCAACATGAAACGAAGTAAAAGTACACCTGGTTTGGTTGAAGCATCAACTCGTCTTCCATTTATCGTACCAATGAGACGTACCGGAAGTGGTGCACATCGGCTATCGTCAATACGAGAAACAGATGTTCATGCTGTAGGTTTACCATTTGACGCTCACTTTTCGACACAACAACAGCACCCCCAACATCGTACACAAGCAACAATCGGCTATTCTTGTGCTGGTTTAAGTTCCCTAGATCGAAAACAGCCGCAAACAACGAATTTATCATCGAGTGTCAATTCTCTGGCTGCTCCATTAGCTTCCTCGATCAGTGTTACATCATCACTAAATTCTCATTATATAGTACCAAATTCGACTTCACATCGTTGTTTTATTGTTGATCAACAACACCAACAAACGAAACAAAATCAAGTATCTCCAGTGATGATGAATAATTTTTCATCATTTCCAGAAACAATAATTTCTGTCAACCCTATAGGCATCAATCATTCAATGTCATGGTCAAATGGGACAAATTCTAGACAATCGCCTACCACATTATCAAATTTAAATCGATCATGTTCACACTGGACTACAAATCGAAATCATTTGAATAATAAACATCGCCTTGAAAGTATAACGGATAAAAATGATTCGTCATCAAATCGAACTCAAACAATATTAATTGAAGAAATTCAATATTTGAGACAACGTTTAAAACAATTAGAAGAAGATAATGTATCGTTGAATACAAGTTTAAAACAAAAACATTGGGAATTAAAAAATCGTCTGCGAACGTTAGAAAAAAATTTGGATTCAACTCAAAATAATCATCAAAAAGATTTAAATTTAAGAGAATCATTTAGTACCGAAACAGAGGATGGTTTCTCAGAATCAATTCTAGGAGAAAATAGATAATGACGAATCTAGATTAAGTCGCAGGAAAAAACTCATAGATATTACTAATACACTAGGTATTTTATTGATTATACGAAAAATACTGATAATGATGCAATGAATTCCATTGATAGAGTTAGGCAAGAGAGACTAATTTCGCCGATTTGTCTCAAATTTATTTCAAAACGATATGGATGCAGCACAGTTACAAGGAAAGTCACTGTGAATCCGTCATTGTAATCGCGATTATGTCAGATCGCAGTTAAATGCGTCTTTCTTGTTCTTGTTTTATGTGTCTTAGAAACCAATGAAATCCATCTTTTTCTTTCTAATAGTCTCTATTCATGTCGGTTCTCAATTCTTTTTAATGTACAATTAGCAGGACCTAAATAACTTTTGTTGTAAGAAGATAAAATTATCTTCCATTTTATTTTTATGATGTTCTTTCTCTCTCATTTGTATATTACTATGGTCGTTTCTGGTAACAAAGTAGCATTCACTTTCCCTCTGATTTCAATAATTTATTGATAGAAATATATTTTTTCTTTCATGGTGAAGAGTCTTATATATTTTTGAAACGTATTTTTGAGTTTAATTATATTTTTATTATTTTAAAATTGAAAAAATCGTAGACGGGTTTTATGTAAATAAATTTTACAAAAGCCTAGTAAGACTAAGTAGTCAAGAACTAAAGTATATAGAAAATCTGTACTATTCAACTTCATTTCTGAAGTATAGAGATGTAGTGACATAGTGTAGTGTTAATAGAGATTTAAAATTGTCATAAATCGTTGACAAAAAACATAAAAAGGATTACCAGGAACTTACATTAATGTACACAACTGAATGTTTATATAAATCAGATATGAAAAGGTTTTGAGATGGAAAACTGATAGAAACGAATTTAATACATAGAAAACAGCAGATTCGCCGACAAATGATGGTAAATTAAAGATGCGATTTTCCACTTTAATGAAATTGGATATAAACAAGAGTAATTAAAATAACAAGCAGAAGGGACTACAATAACTTATTAATACTATATATCTACAATAGCAAGGTAGTTTAATGAAGAACTTGCTAGCATAAATGTAGAAGACTGTGTTACCTAATTATTATTAGACTTTCTAATTAATTAATTGATCAGTACAACACTAGATATACAGTTGTTCTCTTCCTAGTTAAACGTGAATAGAAAAATCAGTTGAATCCCATCATTCAATAGCGTTTGTTGTACTTATCACAAATATCAAACGAAAATTTACTCAAAATATTCGACTGCTATTTAATATTAGTCATGGTCTTTAATGTATTAATTAGAAAGATTAAATAGAAACGAAAATAAAAGACATGACTTAATCCGAAGTTGTAACTAAACTCAAATTTCTAATAGTATTTACACACCGACCATTGACTATAGTTTCGATTACAATAAAAAACTCAAATACAATCAGCTAATAATTGTTTTCACAAAAATCACCTTCACAATACATACAATACAAATTTAAACACGAGGCGCGGGTTTCCTAAAGAATTATGATGAGTTATTAATCCATTCGATATCAAGCTTGTGATAGTAACGATGATAACAACAATAATGAACTTGTCTCAATATCAACATCAACTCATGGTTCATCAAAGTCATCATTACAATCGAAAAACGCTCACACAAATACAAATCAAAAATTCAATAATAAAGTATCGAATTCAGAGCTTTGTGGTGTAACGATTCTACCTAGCACCACAACCGCCAAACAAACCACAACACCATCTCCTNTCTACCAAATAATCTTGAAGATCGTGTTATTCGGTGGTTCGATTATTTGTGGATGAGGTATGCTGCATCGTTACATATTACAACTATTTTGTACTTTCTCAATATTTCAGTCATAAATCGGTTGATGGGAAGGCATCGTCAATTTTATGTTTATCCAGTGTTTATGTTCGTTAGCCATGCGAGATTTTTAAAAAATGGAATGAGATTAGTCTTGGGCAAAGACTAAACATTGAGGGGAAATGTCTATTGTTGGAATTGCGATGCAAACTTTTTGTGTGAATTCCTGATATTTTTTCATGATTTTATCAAGATAAAAAACAAACTATTTCCACAAAATAATGCAAAACAAATAGCTATAACAAAGAAAAGTATCTTTTGAAAAGCGGGCACACACACAATCTTATTAGCTGAAGAAGCTCAAAGAAAAAGGGAGTAAAATAACAAATCACAAACAAAACAAATTACTATATTTAGATACATGTTCATTAACACAGCAACGATGTGGTTAATTGAAAAATCACACAAAGGAGAAAATTATTTGAATTATTGGTTTGCTTACTATATATATGTACAATTACTTTTAAATCGTTTCAAAACGTCGAATCCAAGGAAATTTGTTCAAAAAATAACTAAAACAGAAAATTAAATTAAATTATTTAATTGGCCAGCCAATAAATAGCCAACACAAAGAAAGAAAAATGAATGAGTACTAAAGAAGAAACCGGTATATGCTGTAAGGTAGTAAAATGTTTCTGATTTCGATGAAAATTTCGATGATTAGTGCGCAGACGCTTACACATTCTACTATTGATGACTTCTTGACACCTAAGCTGAAGCAATAAGGATAAGCTTTGTTTTTAGTTTGGGAAAGGTAGCAGTTATAAACAAAACAAATCTCACCATTAATACAACCGTGAACATTGAGGACAACTTTGAACGAGATTTGTTACTCTAAACAAAAAATAGGAAAATTAAGTAGATAAAAGTGCAATGTAATAATACTTTACCTTGTGCTTGATGGTGATCTAATCGGGCTACCAAAGACATTATTTACCACGTTTGTTCGTTTTGTACGTGATATTTGAGGTGTGAGCAATGAAAAAGGTAATTCAATCGGTGAAAACAATGAAGATGTTGGTGATGACGATAATGATTGTAACGGAAGCATTGCTGATTGTTTCTGCGCTTGTTGTTGTTGTGATATACACGTATTATAAGCTACTGATGGAGAAGCTGAACCAATTGGAGCGCAATATATTGGTGGTGGCGTTCCATAGAGTGTTGATGACAATGTCCGATTATTTGAATAAACTTGAGACAACGGCGAAGGAAGTTGAAGATTTTCAATAGCTAAAAACAAATAATATACATGCAATACGATATGTGCAAATAACGTCTTACTTACGGCGAAAAAGGCTTCTTGGAGGTGGTCGTGACGAAGCCAAAGCAACCTAGGCAAAATCAAAATGATATATGATCAAATTAAAGGAGTTTATACAACAACTCTTGAAATAACTATTGTTCATAAATTTAGAGAAAATTTCGTTAAAAGCGTACTGTAATTTTTCGTCCGTCTGCTATTGTACCATTTTTGATTTTGATTGCTTTGCAACCATCACTTCGACGTACAAATGTGATAAAACCAAAACCCTAGAATCAAGAATCGGAACGTTTATAAAATCAGTACAAAACGGCATCCTGAATTACAATTTCAGTCACTATTTATTTCAAAATATAGTGACAGCAGATGTTTTTTGAATAACTTTTGACAGAAAACAGGCTAACACTTGTGGTTTCCATAATTCGAAAGAAAATGTTAGGGCTATCGATCTATATGGAAAATAGTTGCCTTTAGGTGGCATACTTGTTCGATCTTGTTACTTAAGATTTTCAACGATTAAAAAGGTTTTGGATTTCGAACACCGAAAAATGAGTTCGAACCAGCTAACATTTCTCTACACGTCTACGCCAGTCCCAAACCTCCATCTATCAATGTTCAGGAATGCTAAGACTTTACTCCGAGGGGAAATCCAGAACTTCTAGGAAAAGTCGTAGCATTCGTGAACGTTGATAGATGCATTTATTAACGTTCAACCAGTCTCAAACCTCCATGTAGACGTGCAGAGAAAGGTTCGCTGGTTCGAATCCACTTTTCGGTGTTCGAAATTCAAAATCTTTTTAATCTTGGGAAATTTTATATTAAGCAAAAAACGTAAACAATAGTAGATAGAAAATCCATCCTCTAATTAGCCAAATGAAACGCCTTGTTTTATAACTTACTTTTGAACCACGATCGTTAGCAACAATTTCTGGATCTCGAACGGGACCAAATACCTAGAAAGAAAAGGATAACATGATAATACCTAATAGTGGGACTATGACTCTTTCTCAGCTTAGATCGCGTTCCAATTTACCTCTCATCTTATCTCACCTTAATTCCTTGAAAATCTTATTGGTGTTTTATACTTTTGAAGATTTCTGTGCATAAATTTATTAGATTTGCAAGAAATTAGGTGATACGACAGAGGTATGTAAACGTAGCTTTACTTGAAACTGATGTCGCAAATCTTCGATTGTCCAAGCAAACGGTATGTTGCCAACATGAATTCGCAATGGTTCATCATTTTCATCCAATTGTGGCATATTGTCGAACTGTCAAAATAAAAAGGAGTTGAATTGAACAACAGTGTATTCTTTGGGTAAGCTACGTGGTCAATTGATTAAAAAAGTTCAATCTGATCGCCCTAAAGATGTTCTGTCTTCAAAAATCCATTAACATAATATTAAGCGACGCTATCTCCAGTATCGCTTAAAATTAATCGTTCTATAAACAGAGCTGTACCACTCTACTAAGTATTAGTTACAATCATCTAGCATTCGTATACTGCTAATAGTATTACCCAGCCATACTGGATCAGACTTTTTCTATAAGAGTCATTGTCGAACGATGCTGTTGAAAACTGAATTATTGCAGTAGGAATTTATCTTTCAAACTTACTTATGTGTATAGCTATGTATGTGATATCTTACATTTAGGTTCTTTCTCTTTCTGATTTTCCAAAAATGCGAACGAAACAGCTGATCTTTACCATGTTGTCATTCATTATATCAAGAAAAAAAGCATACACGTACACATCCTCATCGTTCATCTTCGCACATCTTTTGATATTATTAGGAACGATAGAGTTACATACCTTAATTTCGACACTAAATTTTTCAGATTTCGTGTTTTCTCAGTTAATTATTAACATAGAATAAAACTTTTTGTATGGCGACGTAGCTGCCATTCAGGCCTGTCGGTCTATATAAAAATCTTAGAGTTACCAGTTATATTAATTAAGATAACAGGGTTAGAATAACCATGTGTCTCGAGCGTTTTTTCTTCTCTGTCCTTTCCTAATTTCGATATTCCCATACAAATATATGAAGTTTTTAGATCTATGTCAAAACAAGCTTTTTTGATTTACCAAGTTCGTAAAAATCTTCTCATTTTTATATAGGAATGTGTGTCGACTTATACGTGTCGAAATTATATCTTATTTCGAGCTCCACGTCGTTTTCTTTCCTAATTCGAAACTTCTACTGGAATACATGACATTTCAATAGGCTTTTAAAAAAAAGATGTGAACGTTACCCAAAGTCAAAATTACCATACACTCTTGGAACAAAAAATGTTCCATATTTAGGACTACAACTGGTAAAAGACTGAACGAACAACGATAAAGTTGATCGTTTACTTTCACATAAAACTTACTAAACACTGGTTTCCTCACAAACGAGAATATGTTGAATTTTAGTCGGTATTTAATAATGAAACAATGGTGATAGTAAAATAGCACCTCTTTGTAGATTCTTCTTTGAAGATTTTTATGAACTTGGTAAGCCAAAAAAGCTTGTTTTGACATAGATGTAAAAACTTCATATATTTGTATGGGAATATCGAAATTAGGAAAGGACAGAGAAGAAAAAACGCTCGAGACAC